CAGGCCGGTGTGGCGGCGGGAGTACAGCGGGCGGCAGAGCGGCCCCGCCGTCTACCTCTCGCTGCCGGTGCGCGGCGTTCGGGTCACCCCCGCCAACATCTTCTGCACTGACCAGTACTTGAAGGTGGGGCGGCCGCGCATCGCGCCCTCGCTCGTCTCACGGGCCTTCTGTCGTGCAGTATCGCCGCCTTGAGATGTGTGGCGCCCGTGGGCCTGTGGCTTGGCGTTACTTCATAGCTCTGTTACTAAGCGTGTGCTTTTTACACCATGGCAGCGCTGTCGAGTTTATAATCTTTTATAATATTTAATCTATAGTCTCCCTTTTTACGGTGTTAAATACCTGTCCCACTAGAGATAATGGCTTTACCGCTGTTTGTTCTTCTCTGTACTAATGCTCTTGCTGCTCAATAGATGCCAGCTGCCTTTTCTCTCATAAATGGCCTGAATTATACACATTTGCTTAAATTATGAGTAATAATTCTAAATTTGAGGTCAATAGCTTCTGTTGCAGTGCTGAAGAACCAACTTTTTCAATCTCTCTTATCTGGTCTAATAAAATATATAACCTCCATACTGGATACTAAGCAAATTAGTTTTGTCAATAGCATGTGTTTCTTGAGTTTTACTGTATGCTTGTACTGAGTATTTTGAATATGTGAGATTTAATTAAAAATTGTAAGTATTAGTACAAATAAATTATATTTTTATAGGTAAGCGTCCCTCCCTTTTTATTTGAAGCGATTTTATATGCTCCTATTGATGACACAAATAGCACAGCAAAGATTGGAAATGGAATAATTTTCTTCACTTTGTATAAAAAAGAAGTGGCCATGTGGGATTCCCTAACTCTAGTAAATGGTAAGTTCTGGACTGTGAAAAGCAGATTGCATGTAAGAAACTGTGCCAAAACTTTACAAACTATAATATGCAATGTCAAACTGCTGCTGCTGGATATCTGCTAAGTTAAACCTCGTTGTTCATTGTTAAAAATAGAAAGTATATGAAAACGGACAAAGAACATCTACTGGCTCTGGTGTGCACAAAACAAAACGTTTCTCGTAAAACTTACGTTTTGCGTGTAAGCAAATCTTAGTTTTGCTTTTTTAGAGATGAGCTTGGTAGAGACTGCTTTGTGGAATTTGAACCATGTTGCGTTTTCCCAGACAAAGTAGCAAAAGGAATCCTGTTTTTATGAATATGGTACATAACAGTAGAACTTAAGGCCTAAATTACTGAAATAGTTTTTATTTGTTTTTTAAGCTAACAAAGAGAAACTGCAATATCTAAGAAAGAATGCTGTTCTAAAAGCCCATGAAAAGGCAAAAGAGGAGACAGAAGCAAAAAAAGTTACAAAACAGGAACACAAAAAATATGCGTTGGAGGCCACGATGAAGGTAAGCTTACAAGGAACTCTACAAGACACATACATGTAAGCAATTGCCAACTAATCTGGCAGCTGCTTGGTTAAATGTACCTTAAAAACTATGAAAAGTACTCATTTTTATTACAGTGGCGGAGAACCATGTTACTTCTTTGTACTTAAAGCGTATCTATCACAAAATATGAAAATGGTACAGAAAAAATGCTTAGAAGTTGCCATTTTCCATTAGTTGCCATTCCACTAATGAAGATTTTTGGTGAGGAACTCAGATTTTTGCCAGTTGAAAGGAGACTACAGTAACGTGGCACTGATGCAAAGACCACAAAAGATTATATTTTTGCAAGTGTTTAGTCATTTAGCACTGTCAAAAATACTGATTTAAAAAAAATCTTGTTTCTTAATTGTTACATTTTATATCAGACTCGCTGTTCATTGCCTTTTGTGTGTATGTATCTGTTGTTCTGTGTCTTACGTGTCTTTTAAGATAAGTTCTTTTCTTCAAAATGTTTATATATATAAAAAGTCTGGTCATTTCATTTGTGTTTAAAAGGATTTTTTTAAAGGGTACAATTAAATTTGAAGATTGCATATGCAATTTGGACCAAAACGAACTGCAGTTGGTGACTTTCTTAGTAGCGACATTGTACCTTTTTTGCCTATGTAATAATCTCAGAGAGAAGATGAGAAATAAGAAACAGTGTATTAAAATGGAGCCATATATTTTACATTTCTGTATATTCCAGAGATCTGAATTGGAATATGGCTAGGATTTTCATTGTTTACAAGTAAATCTTATTTCTGAATGTTTCTGGGTCATACGTTAGTAGTGGTAAAATAGTTAAAAGATATGACTTTTAAAAGCTAATCAGAAATCTTTACTCTCCCAATCATTTTTAAGCATCTTTCATAACTCTGCTTGTAAATCACATTGATGATGATGCTATGCTTGGGATATGAAACTGGCAAAATAATGGTAACTTTTACTTAGTCATCCTCCTATTATCAGATGTTACATATCTCATAGGCTTATCGTTCAAACAGCTAGAAGAAGCAGAAAGAAAAAGAATTGAAGATCTGAAAGAAAAGGAGCGGCAGAAGGTCACTAAGGAGTTGGAGTTATGGAAAAAACAGCAAAAAGATGCTGAGAAACAAAAGAGGGTAGAAAAAGAAGAGGAACTACATCAAGAAGTAGAGCAATTAAAGGAGAAAAAAAAGGAAAAAATGAACAAAACTAGGATTCCTAATGAAGGAACTTCTAAGACCAGCCTCAAACCTACTAAAGGTTGTATTATTGGAGTGTATTTTATCATTATTTAAAGTGTGGGTATAACTTTATTCCTAGATGGTTTCTAATTCATCATTTATCTTTGTCTCCACGATACTGAACTAATTCTTTTAGTTTGCAGTTATTTTAGTGTCTTTATTTTCAGGCAATTTGCTGAGCACGTGAGTTCTTAGCTCTTGTTTAAGTCTTTGGAAATAAAAGGGCAGGTTTTATTCTAAGCTTTAGAAAAGTAAAACAGAAAGCCTTTCTGACAGTGTAATGCAGACTTTCTGAGGGTGGAGTTCATGTTACCCTAAGTCATCTAACTGATGGTTTTCATAGAAATAGGCAATCTCCTTTTATTCTCTCTATCCCGTGTCTTGGCCCCACAGAGAGCCAATTCAGGGAACTAAAACAACAGAAAAGACTTCATTTTTGTTTTGTTTGTTTGTTTTGGTAAGGTTAGTTTTAGCTCTTGTAGTTGCCCTGTCAGAGAATCATATAAGTGACAGAGGTAGACGGTGGTGTAAGAGGAGTTTAAGTTCACTTGTGACAGATAATGTAGCCAGTAAATAGATGGCACGATACAGCAAGAACAAACATTTTTTGAACCTTCCTTTCAAAAGAACAAGTCTAAACCTTTCTCAAGCTATTAGAGGTTTAGTTGTAATGTGCAGAATTTCTAAATTAGGTGTACTTTGGACTTTGGTAGAAAACCAGAAAAATCTCTTGCTTCATCTTTCATTTCCAGTACTCCAATTCTCTTCATAGGTCATGGTTCCTATAGTATGTTTTCAGAAAATTTAAAGGAAGAACAGCTACCAGCTCCTCGATCTACTGCTACAATTCAAATCAACTTTACATCACGAGTTTTTCCTACAGCTCTGCGAGAATCTCGCATCGCAGAAGAGGAGGAGGTAAGGATTGCTCTCTGTTTTAGTATGATGCTTCTACTGTCTTCCAAGGTGGTGAATTATTTACTGTTTATTCAGTAAGTTGACAAAAATGTTACCTGTGTCAAGGAATGTTACCTGGGCAATATTCTTATCTTCCAAGGAAGGCAGTCTTATTTAAATTAAGATTTAAAGAAACACACACTTTTATATAAAAATTATTGTCACCAAGCATGTGATTGTGCAGATTAATAAATAGCACGTTCCTTCTTTTGGGAGGGGAAAAAAAGGGGGGGGGGCAGCAATATTAATTGAATTCCTTGAAGTACAAAATTTGAAATGTCTTTACTCTTATATTTAAGAATCTTTAAGTTCTGCCTTCTTAAAAAGAAGCTCATAGTTAGCTCTTTTGAGCTCTATTGAATGAACACAAGAGTAATTTTGGAAGTTCCAAAACAAACAAGCAAACAAAAATGTATTAGTGATGCAATAACCTTACTTCTCACATAGTAATAAAATATTTGGGAAACTTGGAAGTGTTTCATATCTGACATTATTAAATATTTCTCTCTGTCCAAAATATATGCCAAATAGAATTCTTTTGATAGGAGTGAGTGAATAGGTGAAAGCAAAATCCTTTTTTGGATTTGAATTTTCCTTCAGAAATAATACTTGCATGTTATATATTTACAGTGGCTACGTAAACAAGCAGAAGCTCGAAGAACAGTAAGTGCTGATTTGTCTGAGCTGGAAGATTTAAAAGAAGAGGAGAAGAATCCAGATTGGTTGAAGGACAAAGGAAAGTAAGTTAGATTCCATTTGAAGATGTATTTAAAATGAAATATTGGTTATATAGTGTCTATTGCTTAGTTTTGACATTTCCTATTTATCCTAGACACAGATGGTGAACATCTGTGTAGTGGAGAATTTATTGACAGCTTATGGGGTTTGAATCTGATAAAGTCATGAGGTGCAATTGCTGAAGCTCATGGTGAACAAAATCATTGTGAACACATAATGCATATTCTTCTATGAGGACAGTTAAGTCAGTGCAATATTATACCTAGGTGCATTTCCTTTCATTTGTACTTTTTATTGAGAGGTTAAACATCTGCCTAAAACAAACTTTAGGAATTTGATAAAAATGTCGGTATGTTTATATAGCTGTGTTTATACAGAAAGGTTTGATTAGGCAATCATAATCAGATCCACAGCTTTCAAAATTAGTCCTGTGTCTGCATAGGTATGTCCACCTCTTACTGTTCTTCATTGCTTTTAAGCAGTGACTATTTTTGTTAAGTTATACGTCTATACGCTATATTGTCGGCATCAAGTTTGACTGAACTTCAGCTATGTTGTTCTCAGGAAAGGCTGTAAATGGCCATTTCCAAGGAAAAGCTGCTAAAACTTCAAATTTTTGGAAATTAATTGTTAACAATAAGTAGGTATTTACTTTGTGATGTATCACCTTGTTTAAAGTGCATGTTTCACTTTTTGTTTTATACTTAGCAAAATGTTTGCAACAGGAAACTATCTTGCAGCTGTAAATGCATATAACCTCGCAGTGCGGCTAAACAATAAGCTTCCCCTACTGTATCTGAATCGTGCTGCTTGCCACCTTAAACTGAGAAATTTACATAAAGCTATTGAAGATTCCTCTAAGGTATAAATATATAGGTTCTCAAACTGTCATCCTATACACGATTGTGATTTATTACTGTGATGCCTCTGTTTCAAGCATATCTGTAAATACTTATTAGTGCAATTCGAAATTTTTCAATTCAAAATTGGTATAATGAAGCCATGGTGATATATTAAAATTTGATAGTGATTGATTAATGACCTTTCAGAAATTTAAAACAAAACAAAACAACAACAACAAAAAAACCCAAACCATGCTTCCACACATTTGGGCCAAATGGCCACATGTTTACTCAGTAGGTGTTTCTTTACAGGTAAAATATTTTAGCAATATATACACTTGAAAAAAAAGACAACTCTGAGCATAAAATAAAGAAAATATACACAGATACCTTTGGTATTATGTTGTGGTGTTCTTCATTTGGTGGGAAGAAAAAACAATGTGGTGGTGATGAGGAGGATACCTTAAAAAATCCCCAACAAACCAGACATTAGGGCTGTATCACCTCAATGTTTTAGTAGCCATTATATGTGCAATGCAAGAGGAGTGATCTCAAATGACACTTGAATAATTTGGAGAAAGTTGTCCCAAAAATACTATTTTTTTGAACTAATAAGTATTTGAGGCTTGAAACTTGTTTTTTCTAGTAACTACTGCTACAACACGTGCTTTTTTAGGGCTGCTTTTTTTTTGTGTGTGTAGAATGGTATGTAATATCATGTATGAAAATAGAATACTTTATTTGACTGTAATAAACATTTAACACAGTATTTGTCAGTTTTTAGCCGTGGCAATGAAACTGCATTTAGCAAATTGTGGGGTGACAGATACAAATCTTAATGACGAAATTCACAAGCCATATAGTTATATTTGAATAGTTATTTTCTATTTCTATTTGAATAGTTATTTTGTTACTGTATAATAATAGTAATCAGGTGAGAAGAGTGTGTGTAAATGAGAAAAAAACCCAAAATTATGGAAAATCTACCTCTAAATATTGTGTTTGTTTTAATTTGTAAAGGCACTAGAACTGCTAACACCACCTGTTCCTGATAATGAGAATGCTCGAGTAAAAGCATATGTGAGACGTGGAACAGCATTTTGTCATCTGGAGTTATATACTGAAGGTGAGACCTTGATTTTGTGAAAACAAGCACGTGGGTTTATAATGACATGCAAGTGATTCTGTTTAGCTCAGTGAGACTGCTCACACCTTTATTTTTTCAGGAGGGACATTAAAGGAGGCCTATACAATCTATTTCTCTCTTTATTATGAACCTTTATACCACATTCTTTTTTTTTTTTTTTTCAAGAAAAAAACTGTAAGAAACAGGATGTAACTGCTTATTTCATATAGTTTCTCTTAGGAGCAGCATTTGTACTGGGGACACTAGTCCCCACTCCCACCAGAACTTTATAACCATTTTTCAGAGTCTTATTTCTAACTTGTAGTAGATGCAGATGACAGATTTTTTTTTTTTTTTAATTTACTGGCTAATTTAATTTACTGTCTCATTCAATTTTTCTGTCTTCTGCAGAACACTTTTGAACGTTCCCCTCATGCACGCGTGCATATATATGTATATAAAAGTATGTATATATGTGTGAAGAGGCTCTGTTTTCATGTTTCAATACCCGATAACATTTATGTAGTAGAGTGTTTCCACTAAAATGTTTTGTAAAATAATATAAACAAAATATAAATTCATTTAGTGACAAAAGTTAAACCTAATGTCATTCTGATTCCATCTTGCTCAATAGCAAAACTCAAGATCAATACTTTATGTGTATGACTAGGGAGCAGTTATTTCCAGTTAGTTGCTATAGAGGATGCCCTTGCATTATTGATTGACATTCTTATTAATGTATCTATATTAGGTCTCCAGGATTACGAAGCAGCTCTCAAGATTGATCCTAAAAATAAAACTATAGAAAAAGATGCTGAGAAGATTCGACACCTAATTCAAGGAACAACACAAGATTCTTAACAAAAAAAAAAGGAACTTTTTGAGAGGGATCCTTAGTTCTCATCAATATGTTGTTAACTAGACATTTTTCTGTTTCACTCAGAACACCTACAGAATTGGTAAAAGATTGGATATATGAATTACTATTTTTGGAAAGTATAGTATTATAACAAATATGATGAGGTATATTTTATATCATTTTGATACAAAGTTGTAATTTTTGCTTTCTGTGAAATATTGGTGGGACAAATATTAAAACATGCTTTCAGTACTTAATTTAAAGTTACTCATCACTAAATGAAGTATTTGTCTGGAAATACCTACTGAATCTAGACAATGGGTTTCCAGACAACTTCAGTACCTCCATGTAGTCAACACCTTTTAACTTCTTATCTTTCTGTTCTCCACCAAAGCTGAAACAGTTATGTGTTATATGGTTATGGTTATATGCTTTCCTCGTTTCTTACTGTTAATAGTGTTTGGCACATCTGAAACTAAGACAGTGAATTCGGATACTCTAATTCAGGCATCCAATTTGGAAAACCTCCACCTGGATGCATAGAGGTAGATTTTATGTCATGTAGAACATTCGTTTTAACGTTACGTAACATACATTGAATATTTTCAGACTATTTTGAAACATTTGTTTGGGCTGAACAAACAAGGTAATTGGAAAAATTATAAACCTGTAGCGTGGTATTGTAGTGTAGTGGTAAGCCTATTGCAACAATCTCTATACATCTGTATAGGCTATTTGTATTGTAGTGATTTGTTATAGCTACTCAAGGCTATGTTTCATGTAGACAGGCACCTTGTTCTACTCCTATGAAATGGAAACAGCACCCTCTTTAAAGGTTAGGGAAGCAAATGTGCTTGGTGGCATGAACAATACCTGCCTGTTTCATCTGATTGTATTGGGAGGAAATGGATGTTAAACTTCTGACTTCAATACCTGAGCTAATGGTGTGTACACCGTATCAAAGTCATATGTGTTATGTTGGTACTAGTGTCTTGAGATGTAGGAATGTGGAGACTGACTTTTAAGTTTTAAAACCAGAAAATACTTTAATTAAAACAAATAAAACTTCAGCTCAATGTCTCTTGCACTGAAGTCTTTCTATAAAGTTAGAGTTCCACATTTATGATACTAGTTTTAAAAGTTTTATTTTTATGGGTTTAGGTCTGATTGAGAGAAGTGTATCATCAAATGGGCTACATCCTTTTTGATACGTCTTATTCAACCCAGCAAAACCAAAATAAATCAGATATTGACAGTTATTCCCAGAATGACTGAAGTAAGTCAGATTTGTTTTCTTAAAGTTAAGTGTCTAGTGTAAGTCTATGACGAAAAGATGGAGATGTGTTTTTACAGAGTATGCTGTAAATTGGGGTAGTCATATACCCTACTTCTGTCAATGGCAGTGTTTAAATAACTATCTCGAAATGACCCACAAGTGGGTAAGTGTTTTGAAAAGGTCTGATCCACTGGATGATAAGTGCAGGTACCATCTGTGAGATAGGTGGTAGGACACCATATTCACTTGAAGTTGTTTTAAACAGTAGAACCTGAGGCTTTGTGAAAGAACATGAGTGTTTTGGGGTACAGCATACAGGAAAACACCGGATTGCCAGGATTTGTGCAGAGAGGCAGATGAGGAGATGATTGGTTTTGCTCAGTGTTTGGACTTGATGGCAGTTTCTTGGCAGAAATCATCTTCTTTGCCTACTAAGGAGACGGATTTTAATTCAGTCTTTCAAGTAACAGGGCAAAGCATTTCAAAATTTGTAAATGTTTGTGGTCAGAGCAAATGTTGCTCAAGATGTGTATTGAAATACATGCATGGTGGAGAGTGAGGAACTTACACTGCTGACTTTTGACCTTATTTAGTAAACCGTGGGCAGTGATAAATGGACTCATGTTGACTATGAAGTATAGTAAAAATGGGAATTTGCATCAATTTCTGTATTAGCGATGACCGTGAGCACAGGAAATACCTTAATATGTGTGGCAGAAATTATTAGTATGGATAATAAAAATATGAATGAGAGTAAGAATATAGTGAGGATTTGTGGATGGTTTGTTTTTGTTTTGACTTTTCTTTTTCTAATATATAGAAATATGTATGCTAAAATAGAGCCCTAAACAAACCTCCAAACGACTGTACTTCCTTGCTCATGTTCACATGCATGCATTTTTTTTTTTTTCTCTGTAGGGAGCGAATTAACGTATGACAGATACTTCTAAGTACGTTCATGGAAAGTGCTCTAATGCTGTGTTGATGAGCATGTGGTAAAACTGCACTGAGTAAAGTACCTCCCTTAGCTGTGCTGAGCAAGCCATTCCAAACCTGCTGTTCTTCAGAGGTGCAATGAAATCTTTTTTTCTTTGTTTCTCAAGCATGTAAGAGAAGAGGAAAACATTTAAGTTGCTAGCTTAGATAAAACTCAAGTAAGAAATTCTGACTTTTCCTTTACTTGGTTTATTAATGAGGCCTGTTGTTGTCTCCCGTTTATTTTTTGCACCAGTATTAGAGCACTGTTGGGGCCTAAATCTCTGGGCTTCAGGATCTACTCTGTTCTGTGCCCGTTGATGAGATGTGGTCTAGGCGCGTGGTGGGTGCAGGAGCTGCCCTACGCCATCGCGAGCGGCTCTCGGGAAAGGACAGCTTCTCCGGGACCAGCACGGCCGCAGGCGTCTGATTCCAAGCCCGTGCTGTTGGGAAACTTTACAAATGAGCTTATTCACAGTCATCGGCGTTTTTCCACCTGCCCAAGACGAGAAGGATCAAATATTTCTAGTCTATATACTGCACTTTTTTGTTTGTTTGTTTGGGGGGGTAGGGTGTTCTTTGGTGGGGCTTTTTTGTTTGTTCTTGGTTTAGTTTTTGTTTGGTTGTTTCTTTCCCTGAGTACGAGCATTATTCGTGTGTAACGGAGTGCGTCCCTTCCGAGCTGCTTGTCCCTTTGCCCGGTTATCCTGTGATCGCATCTGAAAAGCGCTCCCTCCCCCAGGGGCCAACCCCGTCACCGGCCGGCCCGCGGGTCC